TATACTGTTGATGGAAATGTAAATTAGAACAGTCATGGTGAAAATGGTATGAACATTGCTCAAAAACTAAAGTATAATTACTATGCAATTTAACAACTCTATATCTGGATATATAGCCAAGTAATTGAAATCACAATTCAGAGCATTCAATACATAGAAACAACCCAAATGCCCAAACATGGATAACACATACACCAATCATCCCTTGGTATACAAGAATCCCCTCCCTGCACTCAGAGGTAATAAAACACATGATGCCCTATTCTAGTACATATAGATTCTATATCAACTAAGTGCATAAATATCAGACTAAAATGTTGAAAACTATACACACAAAGCTGCTGGAAAAAAAAAAACATGGATGATCTTAATAGATTTAAATCCAGAAAATCTCAACACAGAAGGATTTCTCCCCAAGTTCATATACCTGTTCAAAATAATTTTCATCAAAGTTTCATCAAGTTTTGGTAGACAAAATTATTCCAAAGTGTCTACAGAAAGTCAAAAGAACTAATACAGTGCAGGAAAAGGAGACTTAAGTTGGTGCAATCAGTCTACCTGACTTCAAAGCTAATTACACGGCCACAGTAATGAAAAGTATAGGCTATTAGAACTGAACCTAAACTTAGAACGAGGATAAAAAATTTGACCAGGGGATTTTTATAAAAGCATGAAAGCAATTTAATAGAGGAAATACAGACTTGCAATAATTGGTTCTGGAGAAATTAAATACATGAAAATGGGAGGAATAAGGGAGTGGGGACAAAGGAAAAGGGGGGAGGGTTGGGAGGGAGAAAGGTGAAGGGGAAATGACTTAATAAGGCAGGAAAAAATGGGGTTTCAGCTACAAAGGACAAGAGGGAATTCTTGTAGTGGAAATGTTCGACATGTTGACTGCGTCAAAATTTTGGTTGTCATCATACAGTGATTTTGCAAGATTGTCACCATTAGAGGAAAGTAGGTAAAGGGCACATGGAAATTTTTCTGTATTTTTGCAACTATGTATGAATCTACAACTAACTCAAAATTTAAAATTTGATTTAAATATCTAGGAAAATAGTTGGTTCCAATTTTAGTTCACATTTGAATCTACACAAGAAAGCAAATCTCAGTTTTCCAAAAGAGAAAAGAAAACTGAAGGCCAGAGCTGAATGGGAGTCACAGCTGGGTGGCCCTAGGCAGACCCACAATCAGCTCTTCCCCAGCAAGGGCTGGAATCAAGACTAGAGTTGACAAGGCAAGACCAACACTCATTTTAATGAGGCAGTATGTAAGAAAGCTGTAACCAGGAATTAAATAACTCTTTCTGGCTAGGGAAAAAAAAAGGTGTTTACTGACCAGTATACTCAGTACAGAAGGCAAACAAAGGGATTCATAGAAGTAGAGTGCCCCATACAATCACAAGCACGGTTCTGTGTGGTGTGGGAGCATGGACTCTAACTTTCGTACCACCCTTCCAGTGCATAAATAGGAACTGAGCTGCAACAGACTCATTTGAAACCAATCCCTTAAGGCCCCTGCCAACAGCCAACAACAAACCACGCCCTGAGATTCTAACTCTGGAATATAACCCATTAAAGGATTAACTTTCTCCATCAAATAGCTTAGAATAGACCAAACCCACAGAGCTTTTCAAGCAAAACCAACTCCATCATTTCAAAGTTTATGAACATTTTGTGGAAATGGGGTGATGACCATGATAGGCAGGTACTACTCAGCTGAGGGTGTGGGTAACTCAGTCTGGAGGTAGCTTCCAGGGTGTTGGGGACCTGAGCTAAGTGAGAGTCTGTTAAATGAGGAAAGCTGCTCCATAGTTTTATATGAGTGATTTACGAAGGTCTTCACTTTGAAACCATTTAGCCCTGATCCAGAGCAGAGTAAGAAAGCTCATAGACAACTTTAAGAAAGACAGGAAGAGAGAAAGGGAGACAGAAAGAAAGAAAGAAAGAAAGAAAGAAAGAAAGGAAGGAAGGAAGGAAGGAAGGAAGGAAGGAAGGAAGAAGGAAAGTAAGAAGGAAAGAGCCTCCCATGTCCTACACAAAAGACCACACCTGAGCAAAAATACATGATCACTGAGCCCTGTGAGAAGCGGATATTCTAGTCCCCATGTTGAGTTTCTGTTACTATGATAAAACAAAAATCAACTTGAAGAAGAAATGATTTCCCACATCTAGGCCCATCATCAGGGGAAGCCCGGGCAATTCAGTAACAGAAGCAGAGACCATGGTGAAATGATGCTTAATGGATTGCCCCTCCTGTTGCTTGTGTGGAACTACCTGTCCAGAGGTGATACCACCAGCAGTGAACCAGGCTCTTCCCCATTAATCAACTATCAAGAAAATGCCCCCACAGAAATCCCCGTAGACCAGTCTGATGGAAGCAGTTCCTTAATTGAGGTTCTGTCTTCCCTTGTATCCTTAGTTTGTGTCAAGTTGAGGAAAACTAACTGGCACACCATGGAAGTGTCTCTTTCCCCCAAAAGGCTTCCCAAATGTTCTCAGTGTGGGGTCATCCCTGAGTGAAAGAGAGGACAAATATTCCAAAGGTCAGGATCCAGGCATGTGGTCAAGTAAAGTCAGATGCCAGTCCATCCACTTCCTTCTGACCAGGACCACTCCAGGTGGGCATTAGTAAATTTTGGTATATTAACTAATTATATACTGTGGTACACTAACTAATAAACTTTGATATATTAGCTTACAAACTTAAAGCCAGTCAGCAGTATGCTAACCATAGGGAAAATCTTGCTTGGCTTTTGGTACCATTTTATAGTCACCCATTCATTGCTAAGTTGTTTGTGAGAATCTCACAAAATGAGCCAGGTGATTTGGCTTCAAGAGTTAAAATTTTTGTCATCTTGACTACCACTAGGGTCTGCTGTATTTAGTATGAATCTGAAATTTGATTCTGAAAATGCCCACATGGTGGTATTCACTGCTCCTTGAACACTAGGAGTTGTGTTTCTCCTATCCCTAAAGCAGAAGCAAGGCTCAGGATGCAATTTCCCTGGAAAGGAGAAACAACTTAGAGCAGCAGTTCTTGCCCCAGGCTACTGCTAGAATTCCCCAGGGGAGAGCAACTGCTGTGCTGCTGGCTGGTACTGCTAATTAAGACCCATTCTCACAGTAACGGCTATTGACTGCACTCACCTGGGAAGCTTAACGAAAGACAGGTCCCTGGCTCCACTGTCAGACCAATTAAATCACAGCACCTCAGACATACACTACCAGGCAATGGACACGTCTCATTAATATTTGGTTAGCACAGAAAGAAATGGGTTTTGTTGTGATGTTTTCATTCATATCATAGGAGCTCTCGGGGGATACTAACATTGATCCAGAGCTCCAGGCCAGACTTCTCAGACTTCCATGAACAGGAGTCCCAGAGAAGAGGTTAGTGATACATTACAGCCAGGCAAATCTGTGATGCATTAGTTACTTGGCATGCTGCTTGGCCAAACTCTGCAGATAGAGAGTTCTACATCATGCAGAATAGGAATTGTCAGGGAAGGGCAGTATGGGAAAACAGTACAATCATTTTCTTCCCGAATGCTGATGTCCAAGTGATTTTATTGGCAAACCTCAGAGCAACCATAACCCGCAGGCTTCTGAAACATCTTCCTATGAAGATTCTTCATGAAATAACAGGTCACCACAGTGGGCCACCCCCTGCTCTGAGCCTGTTTTATCATTGTCTCCACTTACAAATGGACAAAAGAAGAGGAGGGGAAGAGGGAGGAGGGGGAGAAGGATCTACTGACAGCCAAGGTTCCACAGGAAGTCTGATGACCAAGCGCATGTAGTCAGCCAGGCATATACTGTGAGTGAAGGTGGCCCCTCCACTTAGCTTGAGGGGAGCCTCAGCAGTCTCAGCATGCTTCCTAAGCCATTCCCCCTTGCAGTGGCTGGGAGAGCTCTCATCATGGCTACAGCTAGTAAAATCCTTATACATTCTTGCATTTGTCTACCACTGACTAACCCAGGACTTCAAACGTGTTAGTCAAGTATTCTACCATGCAGGCTCACAACACCACTAATGGGTAAACGTGTGAAACTTTTGAAAAGTAAACTTGGAGAGGTAGTGCATATTAGCAAGGGACCCACAGTGAGGTTAACCAGGACGAGAGACCTATTCAGCACTTTCAAGCTTCCTCAAGTGCCCCCCCCAAAAAAGAGGGAAAGGGACTTTCCCCAAGCCACATCATGTATCATGTGCCATGCATTTTAGAAATGTTAGAGGAGGAGGAAAGGGAGCTGACATTCATTGAATGTACTAAATACCCTCCTAAGACTTAGCTGATATTAACACACTTAATCCCTAGAATACACTACAATTATAGTCTGAGAACTTCTTCCACAAAAGCCAGATAGCATTTTCAGCTTCCAGAGCCATATCACCCCTATCCCAATGGCTCAGTTCTGCGGTGTACTTTAAAGGGGCAACAGATTCCATGTGAATAGCTGGACATCAATGTGTTTCAGTAAAACTTTATTAAAACAGCAGATTGCCACATTATTTTCAACCCCTTCTCTGAGCCCATTTTCTCATTGCCTCCATTTTACAGATGAAACAAAATCAAGAGCAAAAGAAACAGAAGCACGACAGAGTCCCATAGGAAGTCTGGTGACCAAGTGCATATATTACATCCTATCAGCCACAATTAGTATTAGTAACATTCTTACTCAGCCCAAATCAGAGTTTCCTAATACAAGAAAAGACAGAGAGTCAATCAACAAGTGACCCAGAGAATAAAGATCAACTCAAACTCCCCTTCAGTGTTTCTGGTTTTGTTCCAAGCTCTTCTCTCTGCCTTCTTAGAACCATCTATCCTTCCTACCCTTATTCTCTGCTACTCATAACTGATTAAATTTAACCAGTATCTACATTCTTTGGAAGCCAGGATTGCCCCCACCACAGGTCTTAATTGGCATATGTCCAGTCCCCTGTGAACCTGATAACAGAGGATTTACAGGCTAAGGCATAGGACATGAGATACTCACCAGTCCTTGGCAGGCACTGAGGGCTGCTGTCCCGATCTTGGTACCCTCTTGTAGAACTGTGCCCCTGAGATGGCAGGGTGGGCCTGAGGAAGCCACCATCTTCACATGAGAAAGGTTCCCGTGTCTCCTCTCCACAATGTAGCCATTGGAAAGAAATTCCCTGTTGACCGTCAGATTAAAAAACAGGTCTTTTTCTTCATGTGAAATTCTATAGTACACCTGGTCCTCAGAGCCACCTGTGGCTCTCTTCTTCCTGCTGCTGGTAACAGGGTGATGCAGTCCATAAGACAGAAAATGTCCGTTGGCATCTACTTGGACTGGTCCCACCACGTGGTATTCTGGCAGGGCCTTGATAAAATGTTCTATAAGAAAAGGAAACAGAGGAAAACTCAGAGACCCAAGCTGAGTGTAAGCAAGACAAACTCACTCCCATTTGGGGCTGAGATTGTAGCTTGCTGATTGCAAAACCACCTCTGACTTACAGCTTAGAGAATGTTTTCCCCACATGAACACTGTCAACATGAAACCCCCTGAGCAGCTAACACACAGCATCTGTCCCCAGAGGCACACAGCAGTCTGAGCTGACCTACAGTAGATCTCTGGGTATCAGGCATTCTATCACAGTCAATTTAAGATGCGAGTTAATCCACGAGGAGTAGTGCAAGGGAAGAAGCAGGATCAGTATGCCAAATAGGACATTTCCAGGGTAAACTACAGAGCTCCACAGTTTATGACATGGTATTTAAGTCCTCAAGAACTTCCTGCTATGTCAGGTTACAAAAAAATCAAAACACACAGCAAACTCATCACACATGGTCCCTGATAAACCTCAACAATCTTCACACCTATGACAGCACCAGAGTGGCCCATGATGTAGCAGGGTACTTAAGTGGACTTGGGGTTTAAAATACACTCAATAAAAATGAGGATGGGGCATCCTTGGATGTAAGGCTTTGGCTTAATCTATAATCCACTAATTGGATCCATTGTTATTTGAGAACATTAAAGTACCAAGATGTACACAGATTCTAATGAGGACAGTTGGTCCTGGAATGCACCAGAATACTCATTTTGACTAACTGAAATTTGTTCTTTTGCATAAGAAGGAGGGGAAGAAAGACAAGCAAAGGAGAGGGCAAGGAGATGGGAACCAGGAAATCATGGGAGGAAAGGGGGTGGGGTGGGCAGGGGAGGGGAAAGGGAAGAGGAAGGATTCTACCTACACTTTGTAGCAGACACTACATTGTTCACATTATTCTCACAACTATAAGGTCCTTTGTATTCTATCAGAATCGTGTTTATGCTTTAAGATCAAAGGTGAAAATCAAAGCACTAGGCATGCTGGCACCAAAGAGGCTGAAATAGAAGATCAAGAATTTGAGACCAATCTGAGTTACACAGTGAGATCTTCCCTCAAAAGATAAAAGAAAAACAGACTTGGGCTCTTCCTTCTCCATTCTTCTAACATCTCCGACAACTGAAGTTCTAGCTCTTTCCTCTAAGGTCTTATTCCCTTACTTTCTCAGGATGGCTTTATTTCACACTGCCTTTTTTTTTACTATGTTACATATTCCTGATACTTTCAGATGCAGAATCCCAGCACTGCAGGCTGTATGTTGTCATCATGGACTGCATGTCATCACAGGCTCTATGTCATCACAGGTTGTATGTCATTACTAGCTGCATGTCATCATAGGCTATATGTCATCACAGGCTCTATGTCATCACAAACTATATGTCATCACAAGCTATATGTCATCACAGGCTCTATGTCATCACAAGCTATATGTCATCACAGGCTGCATGTCATCATGGGTTGTAATGTCATCACAGGCTGCATGTCATCACAGGCTGTATGTCATCACAAGCTGCATGTCATCACAGGCTGCATGTCATGAATGTCATAAGTCAGTGCATATACATACTGATTGTCTTTGAAGGAACTGGATTTTATGAGAGACAAGAAGCTTTCCCTCATAAGAAAATTCCTTCAACACTAATTTTTTGACCCATTCTTCTCAGGCTTCAATGAAATATGGAGCAGAGCATAGAGTGTCCACTTTTAGAAATTAACAATCTTAATTTTTAAGTGCAAAATATCTAGACATGTTCTAACCGCAACCTTTAGCCATAAACCACATAGGGATAAACTTATAGACAAAGTTTAAAAGGAAGAATTTAATAATAATCTAACAAACAATGTTTAATGAAAAATAAGAGGCAAGAAAAATCCACACAGGACTATCTGTCTTAATAGAAAACACACACACACACACGCACACACACACACACACACACACACACACACACACACAAAATTAAGTTTTCCAAAACACATGCAAACAAAAATCACATTTGGAACACTTTTGAAGGGTTTTCCATGGGGAATGAAGCAAAAAAAAAAAAAAAAAAAAAAGCATCAATAACTAAAAAAAAAGTTGTCAATAAATTGTTGGCAATAGTGTTCTATGAACTGAAGAGTATAACCAACTCACCCCTCACACATTTACTTCCCATTAACTCCTCCAGAAATATCTGGATCAATCCAGGATGGGCACTTTCCCACCCTTTCACACTCAGACCCAAGTTAAGAGCCGAGCAGCCAGGCAAGATAGTGTAGATTTAGTAGCTTCTGCAGCATCCCCTCCCGTTGCTCTTAACCACTGTTATTTCAACAGAGGCTGGAGCACGGAGGAACACCAAAGGGCAAAAAAAGTCTTCCTCAGCTGGGTGTAGCTGTCATCTGGTCATCATGCCCAGATGTGGTTACTATAAAGACAGACACTGACTGCTTTTCTCAAAAGAAGTTCTGGGGGGGGGAAGGGGGGCTCTAGGGACATAGCTCAGTGAGTAAAGTCATGAAGATCTGAGTTCAAACACAGCATCCATGTAAAACTGCAGGCATGGTGGCACCAACTAACAATCCTAATGCTGGGGAGGAAGAGACCTGAAGATTCTTGGGGTTCCTTTGGAAACCTTAATTGATAAGTTCTGGCCTGACAAAAGATGCTACTGTGAGTTAGATTAACTTGTCTGTATACATCAGCCAGCTCAGGTATTTTGTGATAGAAACAGAAAATGGACTGATATATTTTTCTTGGCTTTTACTCTCATCTCAGACAAAAAGAGAGATTTGCGTTGACACCTGTGAAATCAGCGCTCAGAGCTCACATCTGTGTTCTGCCCTACCGCCTCTGGAGGGTCCACTACAGACAACCAAATATCCACTTGGTATCATTAAGACTTGGGGAAGGGCAGGGGACTGAGACAGAATATAACTGTATCATAGCCTATACAGGCATTTGTGGAAACAAATGATAAGCCTTGATTAAAATTAGATTTGAAAACCTAAACTTAAAGTTTCAATTACTTGAAACCTATAGTAGAGAAATTTGATGAGAAGTTCTAAGAGCAACCAGTAGGCACACAGCATTTTGACAAAGCAAAACACCAAGCATTCATTTGCCTTCAGCTTAGGAAGAAAAGCCGAGTATGAGAGAATACTGATCTGTTCCCATGAAGGTCGTGTTAGAGCTATATATTATGGTTTAGGGACTAGGTGATGAATCAGCACATTGTCTCTGCTCAGCGGCCATGCTCATCTTTTCTGCATAAGTCCAAACTTTGTGTGAACTCTGCTAAAGAGAGAACATCTGTATTGATTCTCATTTATTTCTATTATTAGTAGTTGAATTTCTTAAACTATTTCTTTAAAAAACTGTTACAAGTCCTATAATAGAGACTTATTTCTATAATTATTTTCCACAGGTTGGCCTCACTGAACAACTATTTTATTATAAAAATCAATAAAATTGATTGGCTTTGTTTATTTTTTAAAAAATGTAGCCTTTGCTTACTAATCATATAATAATGCATCTACTGACCAGATAATTTATTATAAATAACACAAAGTGACATAATTGTGAAATCTCTTCCTAAAATAAAAATAATAGTTTCCTTCTTATAATTGGTTTCCACATAACAGAAATGAAATAGATTTTCTCCATGATATCCTATAAGTCTGTATAGTCAGAGTCCATCTCCAAAATGAGATAAAGTACATGTCCAGTAGATGTCATAGTCACCAAGAGCAAAACAGAACATAGAAGTGGCCGATGCCTTGGAGACAACATAGGTGGCTTTTGAACTATGATAGCCTGATTTCTGGTTTTCTCACTCTATAATGTCACAAGAGCAACAAATAACTTTGGATATTTGTTTTCCTGAATTAGAGATGCTGGGTGTGCCACTCATACAATGTTGGGCTACAGTAGTGGGATAAAGAAGGCAGTCAGCCACATGGTCACAAGAGTAACCACCTAGGCTCTACAGAATAGCTCTGCTAAGCTGTGGTATGGTGCAAGTTGAGTGTGTTAGGGGTATTTTAGACAACAGTATTTGCAACTTTTGATGGGCTGTTGGCAAGCAATTACATCACTTGTCAGGAAGCGTCTGTACAGAGAAAACTAAATCCCAGAGTCATTGTTGGCCATAAAGGAGAGGAAACATGGTATGTGCAAAGCCAGGTGTCTTATTCTTTTGATATTTGGTTGTAAATCAAGAAAGCCTGGAGAGGCGTAACACATTCTTACACCAACTGACTGATGTGGAAGAGGGCTATGCAGAATCAGCCCAATCTGTACTGGAAAGGATGAGATTTGTCACCATACCCTTTCTAGGGACCAAAACCTTCATATATTTACATCTTTGTGGCCCTGGGACTGCACTATAGCCCAGTACAGAACTACCACCATGATTCTGTGCAAACCTGAGAACAAAAAAAAAAAAGAGTGCAAGGTTAACTAGGGTGAGACGCCTTTCCAGCTGCCCCATGTCTCTCTTCAATGCCCTGGCTAAGTAGTATTGGGTAAGTGTCCAATACCTACATTCAAACACAACCAATTTGTGAAAATAAGGATGGATGAGATGATCTCTGCATTTGCAACCCTGAAAATTTGGAATTAGGATGCAACTCAAAAATCTTGTCCTAGTAGAAATGGCAGGTCATCTGGGGGTCAAATCCAGGTCTATTGCCAGGAAGCTTTAGAATGCCTGTAATGCATTACTCCTCTCGCTTCCCTCCTCTCTCTCCTCTCTTCCACTGTCCTTTCTCTCCTCTCCCCTCCTCTCCACTCTTCTCCTCTCTTGCTCTCCTCTCTTCTCTCCCTTCCCCTCCTCTCTCTCCACTCCTCTATTGCTCTCCTCCTCTCTCCTTCCCTTCCCGCCTGTCCCCTTCCCTCCCCTCCCTTCTCTCCTCCCCTCTCTTGCTCTTCTTCCTCTTTCCCTCAATTCTAATGGAAACTCACTAAGATATTTCTCCTTAGCTCAAAGAATTAATTGCTTGTAAATGCATTAATGAAGATTGATGAAAAGATAGATGCTTTTAAAAACGGAAAGCATTCTTAAATCTAAATATATTCTCATCATTAATTCGCATAATGAGCTTTAGAGCTACCTCTGAATAACAAATATTCTCAGCATATCCCAAAAGGTCACAAGGGAAAAAAAGTCATATCCCACTTTCTGAAGAACAAGACAGGCCCAGCAGTGTCTGCTCTACACCAGGATGAATTTTCCCTCACAAACATGCGAAGCAAGCAAAGTTGGAAAACCAACTCAGGACAATGTCTTTGAAGGAAATTATCTCCCCATGCCCTGGGAAGTGCTGGCGGGCTTTGTTTGTGCTACCCCAGAACAGGGACCTTTCACAAAGGCATTGCTTTTCAAAGAACAACAAAAGCTGCTATTTTAAACTTTGGGGCTCGAGAGATTGTATCTGGAACGTTTACACAAGCAAGTGCTGGGCTGATTGACATCTAACCCCAGTGTTTGCCCACTCTGGCTTCCAAGTAAAGCAAAGGGAGGCAGGGATTTGTATCTGGTCGCTCTCTAAGCTTCGGCAGAGGAATTCTCCAGCAGCGTTTGACTTTGCAACGTGGGCAGAAAACACTGCCTAGCAATAGCCTAGACGCGGACAAGTGCCTGCGTGCATGCCTGTGTGTATTACCCCAGCTATCGCTGTCAGAATGGCTGCATGACTTTAAGTCAGGATACCTGGTTCAAAACCGTGTTTCCCTATTACGGAGCTCATAAGGTCTCCAAGTTCCAGTTTCCCCATTTGTAAACCAGGCATGGTAGCCATAGCACCCGAACTCTAGAAGGGCATTGTCAGTAGTGGGAGGGGCTAACGGGCAATCTCTGTGCCCTGACACTGCCCCCACCCTTCCCTGACGCTCCACAACACCGCAGCAGCTCTCTCTAAATAGGAAAAAACAAAACAAAACAAAACAAAAAAGAAAACAGAAGCAAGAGCACCACTTTTTCCTGGGCATTAGACTTCAACAACAACAATAATAGTAATGATAATATTAATAATAAACATCTGCAAATTATCTTCACAGTCCCTCAGTGCTTTCAGAACACACGCAGCAAACACAAAATTTAGAAAGAGAAAAGTCTGTAAAGCAGGACAGAGAACCGCCAGTCCCCAGGACGTAAATTTCTCCCCAATAGGGATGTCATTTGAAAAAACAAAACCCTAAATCTTTCCAGGAAATCCAAACTCAGCCAAGTTGCTCAGCAGGGGGCCGGAATAAAATTTCTACCTTCCAGATCCGGAATTGAAAATTGAGGAAACATTGCATGACTGCCTGTGGCCAGCTGGGTCTCTTTAATAAAGTATAGATTTCCATGTTAGAATCTGCAAGGGGGAGCTGAAGCCCAGAGGGGGTGCTGGTCGGGGCGCTTGCTCTTTGGTCTTTCGAAGCAAGGGTGTCCGTAACCTCTCAGTGGGCAGGCAAATATCCGTAAGCCCTAGGTCAGAAGAAACTCGGAGACTGAGCCCACAGCCCAGTTTTCTAGACGGGACAGAAGGCAGAGTTCAGCCCTGCCTGGTGGGGGAAGGGATAGGGACAGACCAACTGTCCTACCACCACTGCTTGAAAAACAAATAAAGAAAAGCCACTAACCTTGCCTCGGGTCTGGAAAGCGAACCGGGCCCGGCTGAGCTTGTCTCCCAAGGCAAAAAGCCCCGAAGTTAAGAAGCTGAGCCACCATCGAGAGCTTTGCCAGCCAGCTCGTCTGAGCACATGGCATGGTTCAGTTGTTGGGGAGAAGAAAAGTCAAAAAAGTTTTAGCTCTCAGCTGCAGATACGAAGTCCTCGCCTGTGGCCGCGCAGGAAGACGCAGCGTGGCATGGTCCAGGCGTGGGAAGGGAGCGGCCAGCAAGCTGCCCGCGAGCTCTAGTGGCTTTTTGAAGCAGAAGGGGCCAGAGAGCTTTTATTCTCTCCAGTTCCTGAAGGGTAGTGAATGAGCTGGGAACTTCTGCCTTCTGCAGGCCAGAGCATGGACTGGGTCAGAGCCAAGGGGTGCAGCCCACCCCACATCCCCACCCCTCGGCTTTCCCCACCCGCCCGGAATCCAGCCAGCTTGCACATCTTCCTTAGGGACGCCCTCCTTCCTCAGGCTCCTCCCTCCAGGCTGAAAGCCTGGGCCCGCGGGCCAAATAGGGGAGACCCCATACAGTTGGCCAGGAAGGCACTAGAGTAAGAGCCACTCAGAGGCTCCTAGGATTACACCCCCCCAACACACAGAATAAAATGCACACATCAATAATGAGTTATGGGCCAGAGGGGACCCCATTTCCCGAGTCCTCAGCTCCTCCCAGGTCCTGAACTTACCCTATTCTGTCAAGATTCCCACCCACCAGCAAACCGCTGGGACTTTTCTTCCAGCGTAAGCTAAGATTTCCACTTAACAATTAATAGGCAAATTTTCTCTTTGCCAAGTCACACAGGAAATGATCCAAGCTAATCTGCTACCTTGACCTTGGACAAGTCTCTTCATCTGCAGGATGGGGTGAGTGGAGCAAATGCCTGGGAGGCCTTCAGAAGCTGCAGGTCAGTGCCTGCTTTCCTATTTTCAAAATGCATCTCTCTTAGTTAACCTCTACCAGTAGATGACCAGCATCGCAGAGAAAGGAGTCAGCCTAAGCAGGCCTTGAGCATTCATGACTCTGTGTGTGTGTGTGTGTGTGTGTGTGTGTGTGTGGTGTGCATGTGGTGTCTGTGGGGGGGTATGCATGTGGTGTGTGTGGGGGGTGGTATGTGTGGTATGCATGTGGTGTGTGTGCATGTGTGTGCTGTGTGTGGTGTTTGTGCTGTGTGTGCTGTGTGTGGTATGTGTGTGGTATGTTTGTGTGTTGTGTGTGTGGTGTATGTGTGTGTGGTGTGGGGGGATGGTGTGTGTGTGTGTGGTGTATGTGTGTGTGGTGTGGGGGGATGGTGTGTGTGTGCGTGGTGTATGTGTGTGTGGTGTGGGGGGATGGTGTGTGTGTGTGTGGTGTATGTGTGTGTGGTGTGGGGGGATGGTGTGTGTGTGTGAGGGGTATGGGTGTGTGGTGTGGGGGGATGTTGTGTGTGTGTGTGGTGTATGTGTGGTGTGTGTGGTGAGTTTGTAGTGTGTGTGTGTGTAGTGTATGTGGTGTAGTGTGGATATGTGGTGTGTTTGTGTGTTGTATGTGGTGTGTGTGTGTGTGTGTGTGTGTGTGTGTGTGTGTGTGTAGGGATGGTATCCATTCAGATACTCAGACTTTCTCATCAGTGAGAGAATGCCACAAAGCAGGAGTTGCCAGGCATCTTGAGAATTTACCAGGATAACCCAGCCAAAATTCTTTACCTCTGGGTTAAAACAGACCTCCTTACTCCATTCAGCAGGAATTTGGCCTCCTGTGTGGAGGTCTCTTTGGCTGACAGCCAACCATATGCCTTCAACAAGATGTCTGGGACTTCAGCTCACTCAGGGCCTTGTATTGTAACAGGACAGCCAAGCTACCCCCAGGGGCCCAATATGCAAGTCCTGAGATGGGAGGTCGGAAGGACTTCATACTGGGAAACAGTTACCAAGACTTATAAATGCATTGTCTAAAAACAACACACAAACTTACAAATGCATTGTCTTAAAAGAACACTCATTTATTATCTTCAGTTCTGGAGAACCAAAGCAGAATTTGCTGGGCTAAAATCAAGGAACTGAATTCCTGTCTGGAAGTCTTAGAGAGAATCTATTTTCTGACGTCTCAGCTTCCAGCTCCTGAAGAAGTTCTCTGCACCTAGCTCTCCTGCCCCATCGTTAAAGTCAGCCATGTCTGGTTGAGTCTTACCCATGTAATGTTTCTTGGACTCCCTTCTATCTTTCTACTCATCGGGTGATGAGTACATTTGAGGGTCACTCTCCTCATCTGGGTCATCTCCTTGAGCTGACTAGCGTGCTGATCCCACTGCACACGCAAGTTCCCCTTGCAGTGTAATATAGCACACTATGTCATGGTAAGGAAGTTGGGGACTGTGAGGCTGAGCCTGTTCCCATCATGTAAGAAGGAGGTAATAAGTTCACATCTTGAGCCAAAATACATGAAATCGGGTATGTACCATGACCTGCCAGATATCCATCTACAAATTCAAAAAAAAATAAACATAAAACAAAAAACAAACAAAAAAAAACACTTGGAGCTGAACTCTTATGCACATTCTTTTAATTCCCTACTCCCCGCCCCCAGGCTTCTACTCCTCCTTCTCTTCTTCCTCCCTTCTCTTCTTTTAAGAGCAACCAGATGTTTCCTGAAGACCTACTCCTCTGGCTCCCATGCCCTGGAAGGAGATCTGTTCCTTAAACAGGAAGCCAAAGAACTCTGTAGTGCTTTGGAGTCCTACCTATGTCAAGTATGAGTCATGGAACACTGGCTTTGAAGATTCACTTCTTCAACTCTGATGCTATCCTCCTGATTCTCTTCCCCACCTATTTTCAAGACCGTGCTAAGTTTGAATGTGGACAGTGTCCCCCAAAGGCCCATGGGTTAAAATAAAACCCTTTCCCCCATTTCTAGGAGAGCAGTATTGGAAAGTACTGTGAACATTCATAAGATGGAGCCTGTGTAAAACACTGGGGGTAGGGCATCAAAGAAAATGACACAATACTCCTAGTCTCTCAGAATCTCTGTTTCTTGGCTTGTAGCATGATTCATTTGTTCAGACACATGCCTTGTACACCCCCACCTGATGACCTCACCACAGGTCTAAAGCCACAGACTGTGGTCCAAAGCACAAAGTCTTGGACTGAAATCCCAAATAAGCTGTTCTCTTGATGATTTTAACTGCCCAAGGTAGTTCACTGCAGTAAGACAATGAATACAGACCCTAACTAAGAACATCATTCATTTAAAAGTCATCCAAGACTAAAAACTTCAAATACTAAAGCCTTTTATTCTATCAGCCCATTCAACATTTTGTAGTCAGAGCACTGGTCCTTCTGCCCAAATAGACTTTTTCATCCTGGTCTCTCTATCCTAGGTTTTCAAATACCCATAAGCTCTGTCTGGCTCATTTCCTTTTTGCCCAGTGATAAATCTATAACCTACTTCTTTAAACAAGTACCTTTAAGATTTCACATTTTCCTCACCAAAACACACCTTTGTTCCACCAACTGCTGGCTTTTCTCTGCTCTTTGTTGAAAAAAAAAAAATCATCGTTGTCCCCAGTGGTGCAATCAGCAATTCATTTCTCCAGCCTTCACTACAGGGCTCAGAACAAGCATGTAATCTGTTACTATTCTATCTGCAAGTTCTCCCACTCTTCCCAGAATGTATAAAATTCCTCTGAAGTTGGAAGTTTTCTCAGAGAAATCCTAATCCTCCTCAACTTCTCCTCTGCTCAGTGACGACTTGTATCCAAGCTTATTTGTTTTTGTTTTTCCAGAAAGGGTCCTTCTGTATAATCCTAGCTGTCCTAGAACTCACTCTGTAGACTGAGTGACTGGCCTCAGACTCACAGAGATCCACCTGCCTCTGCCTCTGAGTGCTGGAATCAAAGGCATGCACCACTATTGCCTGGTATATTCAAGTTTTTAATTGCCATACACTGCTTTATAAAACCAACTCTTTCATAACCACTCTAGAGACAGAACTGTGAATCACTGCATAGTCTCTAAACCATCCTTGGCACAATGTGAATGTGCTGCCTTTGAGAGGAAACTATACAGACATCCATGGTCTCAGAGTAGAGTGACAGCTAAGAGTAGAGAGCATCCATTGATGCTGACCATCCCTGGTGTTGTGCTAACAACTCCATACAAATCGCTTGCCTCCCAAAAGCCCTAGTAGGTGGGTACTACTAGTATTCTCATGCTTCAGGGAAATAGACACTGAAATGTTAAATAACCTGCTTTGATGACTAGGAAATGAATACACAGGGTGAAACAGTGGAGTCAAGACATTTAGAGACTTAGACAGGTCTCTACACAGACATGAAGGCAGCTCCATTTCTACTAAGGGAAATGGCCTTTTGGAATGTCCTCACTCAAAAGGCGGAGAGGCTAAGACTAGTAAGACACGCTTCAACATCCTCAGCGCCTTGGGTCGTGCTAGCTTGCTTTCTGTTTATGTGATAGGGATCATTATTAAAAACAATTTGGAGGACAAATGAATCTTTCTTTTTCTTACACACTCTGAACACAGTCCATTATTGAGAGAAGCCAGGAGGAACACAAAAAGTCAGGCACCTGGAAGCAAGAACTGAAGCAGAACCCATGGAAGAGAGCTGCTTACTAGCTCTGTCTCCTGACTCACTGAGCTTGCTGTTTTATATACCCAGGACTATCTCCTGAGGAGTAGCACCACCCGCAGTGAGCTGGGCCCTCTCACATACAACATTAATCAAGAAAATGCCCCATATACTTATCAACAGGCCATCTAATGGAGACACCCACTCCATCAAGGTTCACTCTTCACAGAGGACTCCAGCTGTGTTAAGTTGACAAATGCTAACCACCACAGGTAGTAATTTAATTCATTACATTAAAGTATTTTCCACATAAACATATAAATTATGACAAAAGATCTAGGATACCTTCCAAAAAGTTTCCTCTGTTCACACTTTTTTATATTTTTGGTTGTGAGCCTAGTCTTTAATAGCTGAGCCATCTTTCCAGCCCTGTTCACAATTTTTTAATAGTGCAAGATAAGGCTGAAGGACAAGAAAAAATAGTTCACTGTGTCTTTCGTATTTGTCACTGTCCTTAATACTAGAAGGATAATGGAAATT